GAATAATCAGATGAGGTAGACTATGAAAAGACTATATCAATCGAGGGAAACCAATGCTTCTACATTGATCATGGCATCAACTGTAATTTTACACATATAATACTATCAATAGATTCCCAACATGAGAGCCTAAGGAAAACTTAAAATGCTACCATATAGAAGAAAAATAAAGAAACAACCAAGGTATCAGTGAAGGTCTCACAAGGCTCATACAACAAAAGACTTTCTTGAGAGATTCAACTTATTAAGCTCATGCATTTATATGTTGATAATGAAGAAATATGCTTTATGACTGATTCCAACATGTGAGAGTTCTATTTCGAACAATGTTTCAATCTCACAAGTGCAAAGGATCTACAACAACATGATTTGTTCACTACAACCGTCGACAAGCAAAAAAATATCGTCTTACCGAGATCCAAAAGAAGTTGATATTTGTATAGAATCCTATTAAATAAAACATTGAAAAAAAGAAAGACGTCTTAGTGAAAAATGAGTCTCAATTTAATGTGGGTTTAAACTCTATTTTTTAGGGTTTTTAATTAGTATATATATGAGGCAGGAGAAACCGATTAAGCAGAGCTTTTTAGAGTTTTATTTTATTATTTTCTTTCTTCATCGTTAACCATGGCCATTTAGATAACTTTGGGAAAGAGCAACAGCTGGACACGAAGGTCAAGCCATTACATCGAAACGGTGGTGGCTGGAGATCAACGACAACAATAGTGACGAAGAGACGAATCCGATAGGGAGTTTTATTTTTGCTTACTTGAAAGAATCTTTAATTTGTTTGGGATTTGTTAAATATTGGATGCTGATATTTTTAAATCTATTTAATGAATTTCATATTTAATTAATTATTTCCATTAATTTTATTGGTATTTGGTCGGTTTTATTAATACATTAAGTATATAGATATATATTTTCCCATTACATTGCATCGAGAGGTGAGTGACATTGTGTGAGGATTACATCGAGATGTGAGTGTCATTATTGAAACATCAGTGATTACGAGAGCAATATTTCAGTGTAGAGAGACCTAGTTGACTGATAGTCGTAACATACTTAGTAAATGTACACAGTAGGTATAGAAATATAACAAATGTGTGAGTTTCTATGTGAAATCCATTGAGAAATGTAAACATGCTAATTAAATGTTAGACTCATCAATCTTATTGTTGTAACATCGTTAATTGCATGATTAAGTTTAACTTTTCCATAATCTTTACTTGAGCCAATTCACTACTTTCATTGCCATTATTGTGATTCCTTTAATCCTTTCATTCTTATTTTTATTTTTGTTTTATTTTTTTGTTGCTTTATTCACAACATCACCTACACATTTATGTTAATTTTCTTAACCAATGTTATCTTAATTATCTAAGTAATACTATTCTTTGTAGATACGATACTTTATGGATTAATTTGCATTCACTTTATTACTTGATGTGATAGTGTATGCTTGCTCTTTATTATTACATTATTTAAAGAATCAATTATGTAGCATATGCCACATCACCCAAAGTGATGATATGCCATATGTCACATCACCCAAAGTGATAACATGACATGTTCCACATCACATAATGCGATGATGTTGTGTGCCATGTCACCCAAGTGTGACGTGTCATATGCCATGTCACCCAATTGATGATGGGTCATGTTTTATGTAATCAAGTAATGATGTGTAAGATGTCATCCCATCGACAAGATGGCATGTCATGTGCCATATCATCTAAAGTGATTATGGCATGTGCCATGTCACCAAAGTTATAATGTGTGACATACTACGTTGTCCAAAGTGATAATATGAAATATATCATGTCACCCTAAGTGATGACATAGCACATTGAAGTGACATATCACACAAATTAATGACATATTACATGCCATGTCACCTAAAGCGATGATGTGTCATGTGTCATATCACCCAAAATGACGATGTGAGAGGTGACACATCACCCAAAGTGATAATGTGACATGTGTCATATAATCCAAAATGGTGATATGTCAGGTGACATGTGTTATGTCATCCAAAATGATGATGTGGTATGTATCATGTTACCAAAAAGATGACGTGTTATGTGTCACATTACCCAAGGTGATGATTTGTCGTGTGCCACATCATAAAAATGTTAATGTGTCATGTGCCAATCACTCAAAGTGATGACATGTTATGCGTCATATAACTTAAATGATGATATGTCATGTGTCACATAAAATGATTATGTAACACATACTACGTCCTCTAAAATGATGATGTGAAATGTGTCACATCACTCAAAGTGATATGCCACGTGTCATGTCATTCAAAGTGATGAATAATATGTGTCACGTCACCCAAAGTGATAATATGACATATGTTGTGTTACCAAAAGTGATGATGTGATATGTGCTACATAACCAAAATGATGACGTGTAACATGTCACATCATATAAAGTGATGAAATGATATGAGTCATGTCAGTTAAAGTGATAATATGTCATGTGTCATGTTATCGAAGTGATAATGTAGTGTGTGCCACTGCGCCAAATTGATGATGTATCATGTGTCACGTCACTAAAAAAGATGATGTGTCATATGGTGATGATGCGACATATATCAAATTATCTAAAGTGATAACATGACTTATCCTAAAGAAGATTGTTATATATTGACTCAAATTCTAATTAGTTGTTAAGTATAATTATATTGTAATTCTAGTTATTGAAAATTACTTTTTAGATAAGTGTATTTAGATGTGATTTATTATGAGATAAAAAATCTTGGTGACCAAAATTATTTTTTCTTTAAAAGAGTACGTTTTAACTTCTAGAATTATGGAAATATTCTAGAAACATATAGATTCTGTGATTTGTACTCTTTATCTATCGACACATCATCTTTTGTAATGTATAGATTCAGTTTAGTTTTGCTTAATTCCAAAGATGAGAAAAATAATAATCCATTAGAAACAGAATGTATATGCTTTGGGTTACATTGAATTTAGAAATATATACATTATGTGATTTGTACTCTTTATAGTCTTTATGTTTGTAATAGATTATTATTTCTCTCATCCTTGGAATTAAGCAAAATAAAACCATGTTAATTCTTATTTTTTGTACGTCTTATTCAATATTAATCTCATTTTGATTACTTTTCCACCTTCAAACTCCTAAAACAATTTATGTTAATAAACTTTTTTTAAATATACTATATTAACTTGTTCAGTGTCTACTTCAAATATTGTATCGAGTCAAAAAATTGAAGCAAACTTTTAAACATTAGATTCTATGACGAAGAAGTTACGAAAGTACGGGAGTTTTGATATTTGAGAAGTTTCGGAAAAATTACATGTAAATACATTTCATATTTTTTTTATATAATCAGTTAGTATTAATAAAAAGTAAAAATATCCGGAATCACAATAAGAGTTTACAATTATCATCGTAAACTAAATATATAATATAGACTTTTTCTATAATATTAAAATTAGTTACATTAAATCATATAAGGACCATATATGGAAAATGACCCAACCAAAAGACTCGAACAAAAATATATACAAATAAATCTGATTGCATCGAGAAACAAACCATAAAAGGGAATTAAGTTATTGAAAGACCACCAAGAACCACAAATAAGAATCGAGTGACGTGAGAAACTATTGACGAACACAAAATTGCACATCCAGATTCAATCTGAAGGTCTATAGTAGGGAAGATCATCAAGATTTCCATCTTAATCATTCATTACTTTGTCAAATCCAACCATAGAAAACATAAATAAAAAAGTGACCAAACAATCGAGAAAAAAACATACCACAAAGACAGAGATAAACATACAATAAAGACATAATTTTTCTTATTAAAAAATTAAAAAGAAAAATAAAAAAAGAATCAATATCAAAATTGATGTTAGTTATATTAAAGTAACATTTTCAGTACCTACTTCAAATATTTCATCGAGTTTTAAAATATAAAGTAACTAAAAATATTAAAAAATGTGAGTTTTTATCTTTGAAAAAAATTAAACATGATTACATGTAATTATAGTTCGTGTTACGGACGCTTAAACTATTTTAGTATTTCATAATAACATTGCACTGAATCTAACATTTTATGCTTTCGCCTATAAAAAAAAATTTCTTGACTTAAGGATCCCTTAATAAATTTAATTTATCAATTTCTTCTTATTGTTTCTTATATAATTTAGCTTTTGAAGTTGTATAAGATATTAATCCTAACTTTTAAAAGTTCGTTGATTATTTTAACTAATATAAATGTGAATATTATGCATCTGTAAATTAAGATATTAAGTTAAAATATGTATTAAACATAATGATTAGAACATATTCCCAACATTTTATTATTTCATTAAGTGAGATTAAGGGATTAAGTTACATTTTTTGGATATTTTTTCTAACCTTTAGATTTAGTAAATATTTTATTATTTAGATTATTTTACTACGTATCACATCATCATCAAATCACGTCAATTATATTAGTTGATCTGAAAATTATTGGTGTTAATAAACATGAAATATTGACAGTTCTGTTAGACAAAATAGACAGGATGAACACACTAAATAACTTTGAGAACTAAATTGATGAAAAAAAACATATGTGCGAAATTGATAAATTGAATATATTATAGGAATAAAAGTGACTTTTAAACTTTTTTTCTTGACAAAAGAATATGTGAGGTTTTTATATTTTTCTAAAAAACATAATGCGACCTTCGTATTTTTACAATCAATGTAATCCTGAAATAAAAAAAAAACATAATCTTTTTATAAAATATTCAATTTAGAAGCTCCCATTTTAAATAAAATAAAAATAAATAAGTTCTTTTTCTCTGTAGCAGAAAAAAGTTGGGGGAAAAGAAAGCTGCAATCTCATTGACAGAGAAACATGTGCATTGTCCCATCTTTACATGAGAACTAGAACATATTGACCCAATAGTTTTAGGGATTTTTAAAGTAAATTGAAAAAGCTAATAAAGCTGCTCTTTTTTGTCATGCCACCATCTCCACCTGCAAATAATAACAATAATAATAATCAATTTTACTACTCAATAATTAATAAAAACAATTTTATTTTACAAAACTTGTAAAATTATTTTTATTCCAATAAAAATATATTGTCATTATAGATAACTATATGGTATTATTGAATCCAATTTCTTTTAGTTTTTTTCACCCTGCTATAATAAATTCTGAATTCTGCATTGTTGTAGATTATCAAAAGTCTCTGCATGTAGTGTAACTGGCCGTAAGCCATATTGTATTAATTTTAAAGTTGCATAATTCAACATCCAATCCATCCAACTTTTAATATCTAAAATCTTTCAATTCATTCAACTCATCAATTTATCACCACCTATAATCCATATATAATTTTTTTGAAGTACTTTATTATAAATAAATAAATGGTTTGTATTATAAATAAGTACTTAAAGTATATTATTTTTTTCACTTAAATTATTTTTTAGTTAAAATAAGTTCTTAATTTATCTTTTTGATTAGAATAGGTACTTAATGGAACTAATTTTATTCATTTAAGTTCTAAATAATTTTAGTATTTAAAAATACTTAGGTGCTTATATGAAAAAGATTACATACTTTAGGTACCTATTTTGATAAAAAAAAATATTAGGTAAATTACACGTTTAGTATCTAAACATTTAGTTTTGGCCTTTTTTAGTACCTAAGTTTTCGTTTTTTTTAAATAATACCTAATGTCTAGTTTGTGTTACATTTTAGTAACTCACCGTTAAAAACTTTAGTTTTTGTTTCATTTTAGTACCCATGTTCAAAATTTAACGTTAAGTTTTGAAAATATTGAAAGTTTAGGTATTAAAACATACCAAAACTGATAGTTTATGTATTAAATGCATTAAGTTCTTAACGACAGGGTACTAAAATAAAATAAAAACTAAACGTTAGGTATTATTTTGAAAATTTTAAAAGTTTACGTACTAAAATGGACCAAAAATGATAGTTTAGGCACTAAATGTGTAGTTTAACCAACAATATTTTAGGTACATATTTTGACAAAAAATATAAGTTTAAATATTTATTTTGACAAAAAAAAATACTACAAAGACTTAGATAAGATGATATACTTTAATTACTTATTTATTTATGATGTATGCCTAAATAAATAAAGAAATAGATAAAAGTGGTGTGAGGAACTACATACCAATGGTAATCCCATCTTGGTCTAACTTTGGACATCCTGTTTTGGCCGTAAGGGTAATCAGTTTCAGCTCTTTTGGTGTTTTTGGAAAGCACAGCAACCGATTGAATAAATCCCAATCAAAAGCAAAAGCATCACTATGTTTAGGACAGAAAGCTTATGCCAATCCCTTCTCACAGACTCAAGCACACCAGCTTTGCACGAATCACACTCATAGCACAGCACCGTTGGCGCGTTGTTCCATCTGTAGCAGTCTGGGTTTTGTGCTACCATTGTCACCATGTTGTAATTGCATGATGTCGGTGGCTTACAACAACCAGACTGCATGATTTTATATTATGTTCCATGGGGATGGAAAGATATTTTCGATAGAAAATACAAAGAAAGACGATATCATAAATTTACATACCTGGACTGGGGTCATAACGTTGTTAACATAATCAAGAGGGGTCCAAAGTGCAATTTTCGCACAAGTCTTGGAATTCAACAAACAGCTTCTAATAGTTTTCCAATACTGAGGGTCTGTTACCCTTTTTATCAACCATGGTGAATAATCTTCCAGTCTATATTCCCTGTAAACCCTGCCTGCAACTTCTTGCCCACCACCTTGGCTGGTCACCACAAATCCAAATATGGTTAACCCCATTAAAGCTGCAATTATAAACAACATCACTACCAAATAAACCCACAGTGCCCAAACCACATTGAAGCATGCTCCAATGAAACCTGCCAATGATATTATCAGTATCACAAAACCTACGATCAGCAATGGTGTCTGCAGGAAACTTTCACATGTTGTGCTACTCTTCGCCATCCATAACCCGGCTCCGATGATCGGTATCGATGCTAGCAGGGTGAAAAGATTCAAGAACCCTATCACAGTGTTGCTAAACCTATACATTTTCTATGTATTTCACTGAAACTTGTTTTAGGGGTGGGGGTGTTTTTTAAGGGTTTTGCACTAGTTGAGATGCTCTCTACTTATTGGTATCCTTATCCTTCTTTTATGGGGTTTTGATTCTTTTCTTGATATATTGTGTATTGTTCTACTTTTCTTTTATTTGGTGCTGATTGGTGAATTTTTGCTTTATCTTCTTTCTTGTTGTCAAGTTGCTAAAAATTAAAGGTATCATGAATCAAAATGTTTATCCCCTTTGTTAGTTTGATCATGTAACTTTATTTTGGTGTATGCTGAAATAACTACTATAAACTTCTTAGTGATTAAGGAACGCTCTAAACTACTTTAATTTTTATTTTCTATTTATAACTTCTAATATTTTTATTTTTTTTATTTTTATAATCTTTTTATTTTTAATAATTTTTATGAATATTTAATTTTTTTAAATTCATATTTTTTACTTTAAAATCAAATAAACATCAAACTTTTAACTAAAATCAATTATGTTATTGAACTCGTATGAACCAAGCAGCTTCAATGATAAAAAAATTATTGTTATTACTTGAGATCTAGGGTTCGAACATGAGGAATGCTATGAGTATGACGTTTAATGTCAAATGATTGATTATTTTCTTTAAACATATATTGTCTTGTACTTACCTCAAATTAATCAAAAAATTATGTCATTGAATTCATATTTTTAACTTATTTTATATCGAAAAAGATTATGAATCATATTTTTTTTATTAATATGGGATAAATACAAGATAATATATGTTCAAAGATAACACTCAACCTTTGACATTGAATGCTCGCACCCCTGATATCGAAACCCGAATCCTTAACGAATATAAAAATAATTCATTTACCTCGAAGGCCACTCGGTTCATGCCATGAATCACAACTTTAAATTGGTTTATAAGATAGGGTCAAGATGAGAATATTAACCTTTATTGTCTAAGTTTAAATTCTGAGAATTAATGAGCACCTCGTTGCTTCTTGAAAGTGATGAATAAGATGATCAAATCGTTTGATCTTGAACAGGATGAAAGCATAGAATCTAAAATCAAATCTTTTCAACAGTAATAAAGGGTTCAATATAAGATTCCAAAGGCATATATACCTAATTCCAATACAAGAGGTCTTTAAGCCACAAGCATCAATTCATAATGCAATGCTCAAGCTAAGCAAAGAATAATTTGTATGGTGAAGTTTTTTCTACTTCATATGCTATAAATAAAGTAATTTAATCTTTGTACCTCTATTATTTAATGCCTTTATTTTATCCAACTACAATTCAACTCAAACAATATACCTTTATTTTATTTTATTTTATTTTTTATTCTTTATTTTTTTGTTCTTTTAAAAGCACTGAACAGAACCCAGAATATTATATTGAATATTAAAAAGGAATGGATGTCTCTCCTTTATCGTCCTCATATTCTTTTATCTAATTCCTTTTTTTTTATTCCCACGGCTTCACTAGAAAAATTCACATAATAATTTAATCTCTCATATTGTAAAGATTCCACCAAAGTTTCTTATCATTCTATTTTTTATTAAAAAACCTCCTTTCTTAATAATAATGATGAAAAAAAATAATTGGCAAATCTTTGCCTAAGTTATTCTTTTCCTCTTTTATATTGGTTGATGTTTATTGACTGGTTAGACTCATGGATTCAAATACAACTCTTTTTTTTAAGTCCGACTTGATCGGACACGATCCGGTTAAATAAAGTTTTTTTATTAGTCTATGATTATAAGGAAATATATGTTCGAAAGATTCTCAATCATTTAATAATTACCGTTCAAACATCTAGCGTCATGTTGAAACATGAAACATCTAGAGATAACAATCATCCCTTTAAACACTAACGTCGCTTGGTTTGAGCGTTTAAATTAAGTTATTAAAAGCAATTTGTATACCTTTAAAAATATAGATGCATCGACAAAATTTAGCGAGATGGATAATTAAATCTCCTAAATAATGTTATGACTTCAAATTTTGATGTTACGAATGAAATAAACTATGAAATGATTATCTTCGTAAAACACAATAAACTATGCAATACTAAATCTAAATAAATCGAAAACATCTTTCAAATTGCTAATAAACAATGAAAAATCAATTTAAAAAACAATGGCATTCTACTATATTTTATGAATAGATGGTAATTTAGTTGTATTTTAAATAAGATCGTGAACGAGAGGATAAGTTTTATCCATTGAATCAATATTGAACTTTTTCTATATTGACCAAGAATTTAGACGATGAAAAAGTAGACAACTTTTATTATGTGATTTTGTCTCTAATGGTCACAAGAACAAATTCACAATTTTTCATATTTGATATGTTGCGATGTGCATTTGATAACTCTCAAAATGGATTCAAATGGTGATGTTATCGAACACGTGATTGTTGTAAATTGTAAAACCCAAAAGTTAATTTGAAGTGGTAATATGCCAATAAGTTGTGATTGTAACAAATACATGGTGCTACATAATATACTTATTATTCTGAGATAAAAATATATTTATTAACATTTATTATGTATAAGTGAAAGAAAAGTCGCATAAAAAGCTATGAGACTTTAATATATAAGTCGCTTTAGTAATAAAAGTGGATATTGTTCTCCTTAAAATATCGGATTCGAGTAGATACGTCTATAGAGTGTGTACATTAAATATTGATTAAGAACTCTCACTTCCTTAATGTAATTTCATCTTCTAATTTTGCAAAGCTAAGCAACAAATTTTCTATATTTAGTAGTCGTCTCTCGCTTAAACCTCCAATGCAAAGATTTAACAACAAAGGACCACTCATTGAAATTCATCCATTTATGATATCACGGTTCCCTATATGTACAACTAAGAAAATGCGATACAACATAGGATGCTATGATTCATTACCACAAAATACAATAGAAGAGTCAAACAAACAAACCATAAATGTACTTGCTAACTCATATGATGCGACATTAAACATTGTGAGCTCTTGTTGCATAAACCAAAGCTGACTGTCTAGCCACAATCCTGGCCTGACCTATACTTTGTCTGGACTGTCCTCTCTAGGAGTACCCGAAGTGAACCCAGATGGAGCATGCCTACTCTGACTTCAAACTTTAGGTGTCTAAGAAGAAGGTTGTGAATGAGCGCGGACATAAGATCCAGTAGGTGGATGAGGACACTTCCTAAAAAAATGATCATGGGCAACACATCGAAAACAAGAATCTGTCTTCTTCCTACACACTCCTCCATGTCGTCTATCACAATAAATACAAGTAACTCTCTAAAACTAATAGAATCATCAACACTAACAACAGGGACAATCGAATCTATAGGTTTGAAATCAAAACTATCTTGTTGAAGGGCCTCTTGCCTAATTCTCTTACTAGGATGACTAATTGAATCTAAAGGGCTTAAGGAACAAATACGTTTCTTTGATTGATGTATATCCCGAATACATTGTTCATTCTCGAATGTTTCCATCTCTTCGGTGATTCTAGTCTTATCAAATAACTTTTTAAATACTCTCTCTTGATGAGTGCCTACCTATCATTGGATCTCAAGTTGAAGACCTTTCTTAAACTAGACGCATTTATCTCTCTTTGTGGTAACCTACCCATATGCATACTTACTCAACCTTAAAAACTCTATCCCATAATATTGTATTAACGTATCATTTTATTTGAGATCCATGAACTCTTCTCGACACTCTTTTAAATATCTTCTATCCGCATAACGCCTCTAGAAATATTCTTGAAATTTTTCCCAAGTTAACTGTTCATGTTGGGAAGTTCTCTAAATAGATTTTCACCAATGTTGTTCGTTATCCTTCAAGAGAGACACCATAGATTTAAGTCTCTGATTCACGAGATAATTCATCACATCCATCACTTACACAATATCATCTAGCTAGTACTTACCAATTGTCGAGGTTGCTCTAGATATACCGTGGAAGAAAGAGGCTCTACCTCGAAGATTCGGAAAAATGGATGATTATTTTTCCTTTTGTTAAGCATTGAAGTTTAATTTTTAAATCAAGATTTTCTTTTTCTAAATCTTTAATTTTAATTTTTGAAATCTCAAAACCATTTTCAAAACTTTGTTTTGTTTTTCAAAATCCACTCTGAGTTTCAAAAGAAAATCATTTTCATTTTTCAATTTTGAAATAAATTTATTATGTTTGGAATTCATGGTCTTAAATTTCAAATATAATTCATCATAAGCATCTTGTAACTCTTTAAAAGAATAAGAATCTAAATCACAAGAGTTAGAAGTTACCATTGAATCTTCTTCTATGGCAATGAGACATGGATTAACTACTTCATCTTCATCATTGGAGTTGTCATCACCACTTTAAGCAGTTACAAATGTCTTCTTTATGTTTGATCCCTTCTTCTTTTGGGGATAATCAGACTTGACATGTCTCATTCTTTGGCATTCAAAGCACACCGAGGGTATATATTGCACTAATACGGATACGGGGACGGAGACAGGAAACGATAATTTTTAAAATTACAGGGTACGAGGACGACAATGGTACAATATATAAAATAATTTTAAAATTATAAATATATATAAAAAATCATAAATAAAGTCAAATATCAAGACTTAAACAACAATATTAAGTTTAGAATAGTAAAATCCATAAACAAAACCATAATATTAAAATGTCAAATTCCAAGATTCAAACCATAATATTAACTCTAAAATAATAAAATCCATAATAAAATCATAATATTAAAGTGTCAAATCTTAAGACTCAAACCATAATATTAAGTCTAGAAAAATATTAAACACAAATGAAACATTATTAACATCTTCTGAGATTAACTGGCTCTATAAATCCGACTTATCAAGATAGAGTTCGACAAACTCTAAATATCCAACATCTCTCAATGAATCAAAAAGCATCTCCACCAACATCTCACATCTTGATTTTCTCATCCTCATATTGACTAGAACTTATTGATAAAAGACGAATATTGTAGTAGATGTAAACTAAATCTTCGACGCGACTCGGATTTATCTTATTCCTCCTAAGCTATTCACTTTGTTCCAAAAAACATGTAACCATTTTCCTGCAAATACATGAAACATCAATTATAC